CAACCCCACCCACACCCACACCTAAATTGAGGACCTAAGGATACTCCTAATAGTAGAACTTGAGCACCTAAGGATACCCGCCAATAATAGGACTTCAGAACCCAAGGGTACCCTCCAATAATAGGACTTGAGGATCTAAGGGTACCCACAATAGTAGGACTTGAGGAGCCCGAGAGTACCCCCAATAGTAGAACTTGAGGACGCAAGGATACCCCCAACAATAGGACTTGAGGACCCAAGGGTACTCCCAATAATACGACTTGAGGACCCCAAGGGTACCCCCAATAATAGGATTTGAGAACCCCACGGGTACCCTCGAATAATAGGACTTGCGGATCCCAAGGATACCCTCGAATTTATAGGACTTGAGGACCCCAAGAATCCCTCAATGGTAGGATTTGAGGACCTAAGGGTACCCTCCAATAATACGACTTCATGACCCCAAGGGTACTCCAATAGTAGGACCGTTGCCCCGTTCCCGGGTAACTGGTAACGGGGAGTTACCGCTCCCAGGTAACGGTCTGGGAACGGTAACTTCCCACCCCTATTAACACTCCAAGAGATTCTCACTCTATCGATTCCCATCGGATCTGAATAATTTCGTTCGGATTCTGTTGCATTTTTTGTCGGATTCCGGCTGCCATGCCAGACGGGATCACTACACCTTCCAACGAGGATCCGGTCGATTTTCATCGGACTTCGTCGGATTGCTTCTCTTGCCCAGATCGAATAATCTGGCACGAAAACGGCCGGAAAATACGAGGAAGGTATAAGCAGTATTTCCGGTGGGAATTTTCCGGTGAATTCCGACAAGTTTCCGTGGCTACCGGCAGGAACCATCCGGAAATCATCGAAAAAACAAATTCGGAAAATTGCCGGCGGGAATACTGCTTCTCAGCTCCAGCTATTTCCCGTGTGTTCCTGCAGGATACGATGATATGCCATGCATTTTTGTGCCGGTTCCTGCAGTATCCGTTTTCCGAAATCGTTTACCTGCCCAAGAGATTCAATCCGAACTGTGGATCTTACCGGAAACCATCGAATCCAAAACGGATTGCATCGGAATCCGACGTCTTTCGTTAAAAACCGATCGGATTCGCTCCAGTTTGCGTAGGATTCCTTGGCATAGGATTCCAGACCAGATTGCGTCGGAAAGGATACGGTCGGATTCTTTCGAAACCGACAATCGGATTAGGGTGTGGGTGTGGGTGCGGATGTGAGTGTGGGATTGGGTGTGGGTGTGGGATTGGGTGTAGGTGTGGGATTGGGTGTAGGTGTGGGATTGGGTGTGGGTGCGGATGTGTGAGTAAGGAGAGAAAAACATCCACACCCACACCCACACCCATACTCACATCCACACATCCACACCCACGCCCACACCCCACACCTCACACCCCACACCCACACCCACGCCCACCCACACCCACACCCCACACCCACACCCCACACCCACAGCCACAGCCACACACCTACCCCATACACTCACACCCATACACCCACACTCACTCCACCCACACCCACTCCACCCACAACCAGCGATGTTCCGGATTGGTCCGTTTTCATTCAACCTGCCCAACCCGTGGACCCGGCCGTGGGTTGCGGGTAGTTGTTTTCTCATTTTACGAATTTCACGGGCCGGATTGTTTTTCCGAGAACCTGCTTGTTCGATCCAGTTCAACTCGTTTACAAGTTTTTGATCTCAATGCTTTCAGCTTTCATTTCTTTTCTTCTATGTGTGTTTACGGTCACTATTTACAAAGTGTCTTCGTTCATCCACCGGTTGAGCCGCTTTTACTGTTTCTTTCATTTTTCAACGCGTAAATTCTTTCTAAAGTTTTTTCTTTACATAGCCATTCCAATGATTCACTCATTTGTTTTATAGCAGTCACACATAAAGGATCATGAAAAGTTCTGGATATATATGTTCTTTTTGGCATTACGCTATGACTAAATGGTGTAGAGAGTTCATTGTTTTTTTTTATTTAGAAACAGCAATGTTTAATGCAAATATTCAGGAAAGAATTCGATTGAAATTTGTTTTGAAAGACCAGACATATTTTAAAACGAAAGTTTTTAGAAAATTCTCTTTCAAAGTTTTTGAACTGTCAGAAGATTTTATCGAGTTAAATCAATTACGTAATTTTTCTTTGAATTCTATTTGTAAAAGTGAAGATCTAGCGTTGTTGCTTTATAGAGAAAAAGAAACTCTACATGTTCTATAAGAATCATGATAAATGCTTTTATTGCCTTTTAGCATTAGTTTTTTCAACTTCAGTTGAATACAGTGGTAAAAATGAAGTCTGCTGGGAGAGAAAAGTTGCCACAGGTTATAGTTTTTATATCAAAAAGAAAGCTTACAAACTTCTCTGCCAAACTGTATTACTTGGAACAAGATAGAAATTCTCCGTGAGAGATACTAAGTCAAACATTCTTTGAAAACTCAATTCGATCAAATGAAATTTCTAAATGGTATTATCTTCTATAAATTCTTTTGTATGACAGACCAATTGTCTTAATACCACATGAAAGCCTTTATAATAATGCACTGCTATATAAATAACGTGTTTTGAAGACTGACAGTGAATAATGAAGCAGCTGTTAGCGTCAGTGATGGATCACACTAACGCTAAACGATGATTAAGATGCGCCTTCTAGTCTAATTGGCTTAGGACATCTGCCCGGATAGCAGAAGGTATGGGTTCGATTCCCATGAAGGTCATCTTTTTCATCGTTCTGTCACATAACATCAGTGACACTGCTTGTCTCTTTCGTTCTATACATAAGAGCTCACAGCAGCTCAAAATATATTCTAATAAAAAAATGATCACCTAATTTTTAAAAGAGTTTTTTGATGTTTTTGTGGATGAAATTTTCTAGCCTTTGAAAAAATTTTCATTCAAATTCTTAGATGTATTTTTGTCATAAACACTATGGTTTTAATAACAAGAAAAACAAGGAAATCCACGATATTCTGTCACGTTCTGTTTAAAAAATACAGAACTGTTGTATCATCTATCCTAAATGCAGTTTTCTCTCAAGTTTTGGTTATAGGATGTGAAGAAAAAGAAAAGTCGCACTTACGCTACCTCAAACGATATCTGTTATATTAACATTGTACATTTGATCAAATTTTGTTGATTTTCTTAGGACTTAATTGAGATTTTTCAATGCTGATGCATATACTCAGAAATAAATTAAGTGATATTCTAATTATAAAAATATGCGTTTCACAAGTAGAAAACAAATGGGTCAGTGAAAAACTAATGATTTTGACAATAAATATTACACGAATAAAGTTTGCATTAACCCGCGGGCAGCCCGTGACAGGTTGGCATGGATCAAAAAATATCATTCAACCCGTAAAGCGGGCCAGGTCCGATCCTCAACGGGTCAAGTAAAAAAAAACGCAGCGACCAACATCTCTGACCCACACCTTGCGCCCACATCCACTCACCCACATTCACACCGACACCCAAAGGTTATTCCTTGAGAAAAGTCTTGATGTTTCCATTCTAGATCCTTAACGAATTCACTAAGGAGCCTTCAAAAATCCATTAAGGAACCTTCAAGAATTCGCTCTTTTTTCCTGAGGAATGGCTGATTTCTGAAGAAAGCATGTGGCTGCAGAAATTCAGGATCCTGAGCAATTTTTCATTGTGTTTTGAACAAGATCCTGCCGGAATTTTGCTAGTGTGTGGATGCAGCGGGTTTGGGTCTTGGCGTGGATCGATGGAATACGCGCACTTCAGACGCCTATATCCACGCCCACACTCTCGCAGCCACAGCTACAACTTCCATCCTTTTTAGCAATTTATATGTTAAGAGACGCAACTTACACTTAATGCTGACGGTTAAATGGTCTGTTGACCGTTAATATTAACGAATAAGGTGATAGTATCTGCTCAGTTTTTATTAACATTAATGATTAAATGATTATTTAACTTATAAGATAAATAGAAAAGAAATGGTCAGGTTCTTTCGAAGAGGCCTCGGCATAGATAAAGGGTCATAAGTATATAAAAGGCGGATAGAATTAGTAGATAGATTAAGGGAAAAGATTAAGGTCATAAACTAAGCTGATGCATGAAGAACTTAGATCAAGGGAATAGATTATGGACTTAAATTAAGATAATCGATATAGATTGTAGAGTCACATACAGGGATAGATTGAGGAAATAGATTAAGGAGTTAGACTAAGCAAATAGCTTAATGAGATAAAGGTTAAAGTTGGATTTATGCCAACAAGCGCATGGAAAATGCCCAGAATGCGAACTTCAAGTAGAAATTTTTTTCGGCTTTTGTTACATCATTTGATAGAGAATGAGCTGTTGATCACGAAAAACACATCTTTTTCAAAATGTGCAAAATTTTCTTCTGCGTTCTTTTTCCACCTTCTGAAAATGATTTTTTTCAGATTCAGCATCAAAAACTGAGGACAGATAAGTTGTTAAATCGACTCTAACTGCGAAACTCTTTCAATGGTGACGCTTTGAATTGCACTGAGTACAATCCCTATAGGTCAATTTTCTAAACCTATCTAGTTTTTCTACGTAAGTGATGGGTGTAGGTGTGAGTGTGGACTGTGGATGTGGATGTGGATGTTTTTCTCTCCTTACTCACACATCCGCACCCACACCCAATCCCACACCCACACTCACCTCACACCCACCCATACCCGATTCCACACCCACACCCTATTTTAAGAACAAAAGTTCAATGAAAAATTTTCATTGAACGTCACTAATTTGAAAACTATACGAAAAAATATTCGAGATGATTTTTTTTTCATAAAAGACTAATAATCAATCACACTTATTAACATTTTCGTTAAACTAAGCATTGTTTAATAAAATTCATCGTGGTTTTTAAAGCATTTTAACAATGTTTTATCGAGAAACTCATTCATAAGTTATATGCTATTGTCAAAAATTTACAGATAATGTTATTAAAAGAGAGAACATGAAATGATAATTGCACTAATGTCTTATTTATTTTAGGATATGACAAAACCTGGTTTCTTGCCATTTCTCATGCGATATCCAAATTCAATTTTGATTGTAGAAGATGCTGAAAATATAATTCGTGATCGAAATCAAGACACATTTGTAGCCAATCAAGCGGTTTCCAATTTGTTGAACCTTTCCGATAGTCTACTTGGTGATGCTATGCATCAACAAATCATTTGTACGTTTAATTGTGATGTCAAAAGTATTGATTCTGCTCTTCTACGCGATGGACGTCTTGTCGTCGAACATAAATTTGATAAATTGAGTGTTGAAAATCCTCGTCATTTGTGTCTAGAATTAGGCATACCTGGGAATGGCGACGATATTCACGAATCAACACCCTTAGCAGAGGTTTATGCACGAAAAAATGCCGCACTAGGAGCTTTGTCGAACGATCTCGAAAATGGACGAACATCATCAAAAAATAAACGATAGTCTAAAAAGAATAAGAAGCAAGCACCGGATTCATTTTTGATTTTTATTCATAATTTTTTCTTAGCAGATAAAAGCAAAAGATTATATAAAATCATGTTAATCTATTTTCTTGTTGATAATAAAATTTAAATGAGAGAAATATCTCATACCACATACGCGAATATCAGTACTAAAAATTCTGTGCGGGTTCAAATTTTGAAACTTGTACCCCACATGATGGAGTCGAACTCGAAAGTATTTACTCTTTTGATGCTTCTCATCTCAGTTGATCTCATTTTCCGCGACTCAAACTTCCTTAAATAACACTCCACGAACCAAATGGATAGAGTGTGGAGTGTGGATGGGGTGTGTGGTATGCTTTTCTTTTCATCAATACGTCGCACCCACACCCTCAAAATATGAGAATACAACATTGTCTTTCGATAAATTCTTACTCATTAGTTTTGAAAGAATGTTATAAATGAGTCTTGAAATAAAAGGTAAACAGTAGTGACATAATCAGAAAAAGTTTGGTGGTTCGATTCCATGCTTACGATATTTAGAGAGGTCGTGTAAAGCGGTGTGATGCTTATGTTTTGTAGAGAAAGAATGCAACAATGTATTTATCTTTACACATCATTTTTATAGATTATGTTTCGTGCATTTAGTGGGAAAGTAATATTAGAAAAATACCAAGATTTCCTGTAATAAAATGCTACTTTTCCATGTGAATTAACCAAATCATCAATGCATGTTTGCAAAATGATGTTAAAATCGCACCCTACGGCTAAAATACATAAATCGCTAAATAAAATATCCGACATTGTATTGCTTAACTTGGTTTTCATCAATAACATTATGTGAAACGATTTCTCATAGGTAGTAGGATGAAATCGGTAAGATCCTAACATCAATGACAACAGAAATTGTTGTTGAGAATACTAATTATTCAAGATAAACATCAGCGATGCTTCGTAACTTTAGAGTGTGGGTATAGGTGTTTATCAAAAAAATACTCTTATCCACATCCTTCCATCAGACTAAGAATTTCAAAAGCATATGATGTCTTCGGATAGTTTCCGAGGAAACTCAATTAAACATCGACGGAGGAGATATAGAAGATATTGATTAACTAGTGCAGATAATCTTTATATAGTGCTTGACTTTTAATATCAATCCATTCAGCTATATTCATTCAACTTACCGACCCTTGCTCGAAAAAATCAATTATAAAAAATAAATAACTGTTTACTATGTCTCCTATATCTCCTAATCTCCTTCATCGATGTTTAATTGAGTTTCTGCGGCAACTCTTCGAAGACATCTAATCATTTTTGACGGGCTTTCATTTGATGTAAAATTCATTATTTATGCTATTTAAAATTATAGCAGTATCCCTCTCCCCCTAGCATAATATTATTTCCAACCGTATACAACAACTATATAACTCTTGTCAAACAATTGTTGGATAAATGAGAGTAAAAAGTGAAATGTTATTCTATTAGTTCAAAGCTCCTAGGATAAGCTACATATACTAACGAATGTAGCGTGTGAATGTAGCTTATCTCAGCCACATTTTTGATCGCGATACATTTTCTGTGACCGAAAAAAGAACTTTGAAAGTAAAGTAGTAGGAAATAAATATTTATAAATATAAAACTGCTGTTAAAATCATACTTTCCAAATAATCATTGAAAAACAAATTCGAACTTTCGCAACATTCAGTCAACATTAAAACATCACAAAGAATAGAACAAAAAACAGAATAGAAGATATAACTTATACAAAATAGTTTCATGCATTAATATCAGCATCTCTGATGCAATAGTTTCTATTTTATTCTGAGTTATGCTACTCATTAGTTTGTTCCGAAAAATATTAATGCATAAAGCTATTTCATATAAGTTATACCTTGTATTCTGTCTTTGTTTTTTGTTCTCTCCTTTCCTTTTCATCCTTTGTGATGTTTTGATGCACAAAGGGAAAAAGAAATCATAAAGAAAATGTTTAGAAGAACAGACAAGAAGAAGAAAAAAGAGGAAAGAGAAGAAAAGAAATGGAGTACTACTAACACCATAGCATTATTCCATATTTACGATTTACACAGTTGTCATTCACCATGTCGTCGCTCCCGGATGAGATCACTCTTTTACTTATTCGGTATCTTATTTTCTTTCTTATCATCTGTGCAATTATTACAACTGGCTATTTTTTTTGGAAACTAATCATGTCTCAAACTGTTGAATATCGTAATAATACAACTGTGCGTACTATTTCACTCACACCAACTGAAGCATTTTGGTGTATTGGATGTTGCTGGGGTACATGTATAGATAGAACAACCAATCGAATGACAATATCAACATTTATTATTTGGTATATTGTCAACATATTTTTAACTTTATTTCTGTTTATCATAAGCTTTCTTGTGCTTTATTACGTATTGAATGATTTGTCTAAAGTTTTAAATAAAACATAAAGATCCCTATTTATAGTTGATATATGCATGCGATCTATTAAAATCTAACAAAAAGTTTAAGTGTAAATCAAATAGAAGGAACATTCATACATTGACTATACATCAACTTTTGCTATACTGATTACGATATATTTCTCTTGAAATCTAAAGATTTCTGGCTCAGAAGTGACTGAGAAACGTGCAATAAAATGATGTAAATATGGTGAGATAAATAATATGGATAAATGGAAAGTAAAAGACTTTTGTAGAGAAAAAAAAAAGAAAATATGGTCTTTGACAAACTTTGAAATATGAATCTTAGCAGTCAATACAATTATAGTTGACATTAGAGTAGAATGTTGATGGAATTTGGTAGTCCGAAGATAAATGAACGTTGACAGACACAGTACTTTATTAGATAAATTTTCGATAAACTCTTCTTTTTCTCCTATTAATGAATTTTTTTTTTGATTGAAACTCAACATTTTTTGAGAAATATATCTATGTATCATTTATCTCTATATCCACCATTTATCAGATAATTCTTTTGAGTTAGTGAAAGTACTTTTAGTCCACAAACAAAAAAAATAAATAAGGATTTCTGTATAACCATTTCTCCAATGAAAATACTGAGCGTATCTTCGTTTTTTATCGACTCAATTTATTATAACATTATAAGCTCATTATTCAGACGTAAGAGATATAAACGAAAAGATAAATAAATAAACATTTTAATTATATTGTAATAATTAAAAAACTGTCGCCTTAGAACTGTCTCTATGCCAATCAATCGCTTCTTATTTTATGCATTCGATTGCTCCTAGACAGAGCATGTCAATAATAAGAAAGAAAGATAATTGTATATACATATGGATGTGTGTATACAGTAAAAAGCACACAAACTAGAACATGAATGAATTTATATTGAAAGGAGAAAATAATCATACAAGTGTGTGCAGTATGCGATTATTTAATTAAGCGTATAGAAGACGAAATTACAGATTTCTTCTATTTATTTTTTCTTTCTTCTTTTCCATCTTTGTTTTTCCTAATGCGTCGTGAAATAACTGCAAACCAAAAAACAAGCTTTTGCTTCCTACAATTTACTTAACAACATATTTTCCAAGGAGAAAAAGACTGCTACACTTGCACAGTGATAAGCAATTTTCCTTTATTTCTTCTCATCTTCAATTTAAACAGTGATATCAACAATGGGCATGCTGTTTATCATTGTTTGAGAAATAGAAGAAAATCTTTTCATCATCTGTTCGGCTATTTTGGTATTCTTATTTTTTTTTGTATATATGCTAGGTGAGTTCAGAATCTAGTTGAGATTCGGATAATATTTTATATTTTTGTAATAAAAAAAAGTTGTTAATATATAAATTAAGAAAAATTGTTTATTGATAATATGATTTAAATCTATTTTGTAGTTTATTTGACAAAATAGATGTGTTTCCTTAGTTATTCTATTTATAAAAGGAAATAAATCGGCTTCATATATTTTATTTAATTGAATATATATTTTAAGAATATTAGGATATGACACATTGAATGATGGGTGAAATTTTAATAATCGTAAATAGATTGGTTTTTTTTCTGTACTGATGAGATATTTTCGATGTATTTCTTTTAGGAGACATTGAGTGATTGATGAAATTTCAATAAGTAACACATAGATTGTTCTTTTCTATACCGACTACATGTTTCCGATGCATTTTTTTCCATGATGAGAATATGAAGACATCGAATGATGCGTTAGTCATCAATGCCTAGTAGATAATTTGTCATTTTAGTGTATTAAGTACATAACAGGTGATGCAAAAGTTCCTGCACAAATATCTCTCATTTTTTCATATGCTATTACATATTTTTAAAAACTTAGAAGTAGCCAGTCAGAATCGACGTTGAAAGAGCTTTCTAATTGTGCGTTCAAAAACCATTTTATAACGTCTTGGCTTGAAGTAATGAGCACATCTGTCAACAGCACAAAACTATAGTCTGTAAAGGAACAACAGATCAATATTTTTTGATTTTCTCCTGTTCATTTCATAGTATAGTATTAATATTTTTTCATTAGATTTCTTGTTTTATTCTCTATGAACATGGCAGAAAATATTTTGACAGTGTGTTAGGTAGTATGGGAAAAATTAACTGTGAAGCTCAACATATTTATCTTGGCAGTATCTTGGATTACTTGTAGGTATCATTTGGCTTGTTTTAATAAAATGGCGTTGATCAAATCTCGAAAAAGTTTTATCGGCGTCATCGCTATCGTTACGCTCAATTTTCACGATATTTCGTAGACCTTTGTTTTTTTAAAATTTTCCTAACATGTTATTTAAAATAATGTCGTAATGTTCTTGCCCAATTCGTCCAGAATTAAACGGGAAATCTAATAAAGAAAAAAGATCAACCAAATACCCTGAAACGAATAGAAGAAAATCAAAAAACATTGAGAAATCGATTTTCTGTTACAGCTAGTCCGAGCTGTTTTTAAGAATATGTTTTAATACTATGCAGAGATCTGTTGGTTACTCCAAGCCAAGACATGATAGAATCATTTTTGTGCACACAACTAGAACGCTCCTTCAATACCGACTCTGACTGGCCATTTTTGATTTTTCCAAAATTTGTTTTTGTACAGAAAAAAGGCGAAATTTTTTGTACACAAACTTTTGCATCACCCGTTATTAAGTCTTAGATACCCGTATACTGAGAAAATTTCCAACAGGGTATCTATATAAGTAACCTGCTATCAATATGCTACAGAATCTTAGTCGAGTGGCCTGCTGAAAACTGTCTCAGTAGTTGGGTACTTCTTCCAGCACTTGGTAGGGTTCTAAAGCTTCAGTGATGACAAATGTTTGAACAGTTTAATGAGTTAAACACCTAGAAGCATCTTAATAGTGAACCGTTCGATTACTCATAAAATTCTTATAAGTACCTTAAGTAGAGCCCGTCGGGTCCAAGAATTTTGGATCCGGACCTGGTTTATTGAGCGTTTTTTAGACTCGGACCAGATTGATTAAACTTTTTCGGAGCCGGACCTGGACTCGTCCCGAATTGTGCTCTTGACACTTAATGAAGTTTTTTCTATTCGCATCTGATAATCGCCCAGGAGCACACCCTCAACAATTCTGAAGCAATCTTGATCATAATCTTATAAGAATCAACTTATAATTGACTCTTTTTCTCAGAATGGCACCAATGAAGTCAGACCCGATCGGGTGTGAGTTCAGGACCAATCCAATGGGCTCTAACCTTGATGTACTCAAGTACGCACGGGGTCCTCTGACATACTGGTAGTAAGGTACGTTTTTGAAGCAACAAGAGAACTAAACTTAAAACTTACATTAAAGCTCTCTTTCTTTTCATTTAGAAGAATCGTTTGTACGTTCACCTTATAAGGTGAGCGAAAAATTTCATTTCAGTTTTGACGACAATAAACAAAAAAAATGTTATTTTGAGTATCCATGTGGTTTGATAGTAACAAATCTATACAAAGCGAGTAATACGCAACTTTCCTTCCGTGTAAAGAACCGAGAAAAAAAGGTAGATGTTAATAAGAAACTCGAAACTAACACTGTACTAGTGTATGGAATTCCAGTCTTTTTGAAAGCCACTTCCACTTTCTCTTTGTTTCGATAGTATACACATTGTAAAGCACTAATGTTTTTTAGATCTTTTAAAAACAATATGCATAAGAAAGATAAACAGCGTACAGCAGATGCTATGTCTATAGTTTATAATGGGAATTCTACTTCATTATTAGAAAGAGGAGACAACGCATCTTCGATTACACCATCGAACTCTGGAGGAGTAAATAGAGATGTGATTTCTGCGTCCTCGCCATCCACAACCCAGATTATGCCAACACGACCGCCAC